GAACACTCGACAGAATTAGCAGCAATACGWACAAATGAGCGAAGGAGAATCGTATATACGTTAGCATGTTTACCAATGAATTGCAATGAGGTCCAAAAACAGTCGTTCGGATAAGACGTCAATGGGAGCGGGTGAAGGGGTAAAAGAAAAATAGGGGCCGGTTAACGCCTTTCGCTTTTCCTTCTCACCCTTTCGAAGCCCCCTCCAATCCCACTAGGGGGTCAATGGTGGTATTTTTGGGAATGAGTGRGAGAAATAATATAGGAGGATGGGTGTGTTGCCGAAAAACCATAAATTGGCGGTTTCTACGCACAACCAATTTATTTGCCGGATAGGCGGCGGCAGTGGCGGCCAGCGAGTACGTATAGCGCGCGCGATGCTGACTCGCACACAATACGACACGACAACAGATGCAGACTCGGTGTAAAACAAAGGTCCCGCGAGGGCGAAGTGGAAGAGTGCGGCTGCGGATTAAAAGGGTTCGTTGGAGAAGACGGATCGCACTATGACCCGCCTATTCGCTTTGTGACAGCCTCTCCCCGAGGACCATAATAATATATCACTGGCACGCGCTTGAACCATGTATTATATGTATATATGTATATATATGTACGTAAACATATATCTACACTACTGCTGCTATGACTCTGCTATCACGCGCGGCGGTCTCGAGTCAGTGATAATAATATTGAAGTTTGAAGGGTGTCAGAAACGGGTACGACCACTAAAATAATGGACTTGTTGTTTTTGAAAGGGAACCAAACCATACATTTTCGTTGGGTGCGCCTAAATAAACAAACGTTTAATGAATTTTTTGTTTTTATTTAGATAAAAAAAACGAACACCACGATTGAGTGTTTTATAAGTTGTTTCGTTTTTCAAATTAGCATAATCCGCAATGATCTGCTGGGAAGAATCTTTTAAGCCCAAAATCTCTGTTAGTCTGTTAATTCTAAATTGACAGATTGATTCTGTACTACAAAGCCCTATTTAATTGATGTGCTTATTGGTAAGTCTAATTAATGAGATAAATCATGTATCAGACATTTTCGAGATTAATATATTAACGTATTTCTATTATGCGTTTATGCATTAAGGACAAATTAAACTATCGCTATTGAATTATTGATGTAATCTTAATATTCATAACAGATTACTCAAATCAAATATTATACAAACCTAATTATTCTAAATTTAACCTGAAAACAAATAAAAAACATTTACTTAAACATTGAAATTATATTTGTGTAGACACATGACCAAACAATACGCAAAATATAACAGACTTATAAAAACTTAAAAATTTCAACCTAACCCATAAACGTGATGATCTATAATTCATAAATAATTCTAGTGATAAATGAAACTTTCACTTGTATGGAAAAACATATTATGATCAATCATGAGATCAATGATTTAGTAATTTTCAAGAGAATTATTCAGACATAAATAAGAACTAATATAAAGTAAGTATCTATGTATATAATATGACCTAAGATTCTGATACTATAAAATTATGTTCATTGTTAAAAAAAACACAGGTGTAAGGTATATTTGGTCAATATAAGTTACTTAAAAATATTTTATTTTCTTTCATTAACTCAGAACTAACATTTTTGCCTACATTTTGGTCTACATTTAACATATTTAAAATAATAAAATTTAGCCAGCGCCCTCTAAAATTAAATATTTTAAAGAGAAATTGAATGTAAATAGTTTTAATTTGTAAATGAGGTTAATTAAATTAGTATTCATGATTATACCAMGATTATTAAAACATATCAAACATTTAAACCTAAACTTAATATTTTTTTTAGTAACTAACTAAAAAGTTTACAAAAATAAAACATTGATAAATATTAAAACTTACAATTATCAAAGGTAGTATGAAAAAATGTATATAAAACGATTACTGGAGTATAACTATTTTATAATTTAATTATTCAAAACGTCTAAAGTCATGATATATTAATTCTTTAAGAAATTATGCATACATGTAGTCAGTAATCACCTGAGCACGAAGTTTCCAGTTATTAATAATTAATTAAATAATTAAATATCCCTTGAGAGGATGTAAGCGTACTGTTTCTTTCTCTGGCTCAAGTGCAACATAGACAAAACGTATTTACACAGAATTTTTTTTTTTTGTAATCTTAGAGTAAAATCACCAATTACAAAAACGATAAAAAATAATACTTACGAGGGTATGACTTACCGATTTTACTAAATATTGTCTTAAAACAATTTAAACATTATTTAAGTTTACATTTTTATTTTTTTATTTTTTTTGTAATTTTGAAAGTCGAAAGTAATGAAAAAAAAAAATAGTAAGTATAAAATTGATATACAATACTTTCAAAAACATTATCCACCATAATGTTTGAATAAGCGATTTTAATCTAAGGTTACTCAAAAATGAYAAAAATCTTAAAAGACAATTTTAAGCTAAAGCGTTTTATTTATATTACACGAGACTTGGTCTGAGAAAAAACAAACATTGAGCTAACATCCTCTTAAATTATTCAAATCGTACTTTACTTCACTCAAAATATCTTCAACTTATAAACAATATATATATATATATATATACCTATATTAACTAGGTAATTTATTATATTATATGTGTTTCTGGAATTTTCATGTAATTAAAACATTTTAATGGCTCATAAGTCATAATAGTCAATAGCATTAATAAGTGATTAATATTCAAATAACATAATTATTATACCTCACAAATGGTTTCTCATAATTAGAAACAAAAATTAAGTTTATTATATAACCAAGCACGTAATATATTATTTATTATAATAATATTCGTGATATAGGTAATATGTAAAGGCACATAAGAAATACATTTCATAATAAGTTTAATATTTAAGGTTCTCTATTAGTATTTTTGCATATTGGTGCCTAATAAATTGAAAAATATTATTTAAATGTGTCGCAAAAAATAATATATAATAACTTGTTACATMATATTATTCATGATTTTTAATTRTATAATAATATTAATATAATTTATCAGGTAAAAAAAAATATACGAAATATCTACATTTTTAAGAATTAAAAAAATCATATTATTAATAATAGATATTTGACTATAGTTTGAAATTCCTTTCACAACCAAAATATCAGACCGTGATAGTTAAATTAAATTGTTTGTATTGAATATTTGTATAAATTTAACGTATTATATTATTAATATATTCTAGCGATATTTTCATAGAACAAACGAGGTTGGTGAAATGTTGATATCAATAGGAAGTATTAATCAAGATTTGTGTTTCAATTAACGCCGTTAACCCTTGTTTTCCTTAATTCTATTACGTCAGATGTATATAATTTCAAAAACGTTTTAACATGCGAACATATTATATGCAAGCTATTTACCAATTCATTATACGAAAGTTAATTATAATAAACATATTATACAGAATATATGGACTGATTGGCCACCTAATTTCGCGAAACAACGGATGAGACGGAAAGGAGGCGTGTATAGTTTATTGTGAAAATCAATGGGATCGATGGTTTGTTTAGAAGGGGCTGTTGGACGGGCGGTAGTGGCGGTGATGGTTGCATTTGGGAAAACCGTGTCCGGCAACGGCGGTGGAATTAATTGAGACCCATGTACGTCCCGGAGGCATCCTGGAGGCTGAATAATATTATTATACACGCGAACTGTACTACCCGTTGGTATTATTCGACAGTACATTGGCCGCGGGCAAAACTATGGGCAGGGAAGGGGGGGTTAGGTATTGTATATTATAGTCAGAGGGATGACAGCAGACTTGTTTTGCGGCGGTTGGCAAGAGATTCCCGCCTTTTGGCACAGGTCCCCCGGTTTTCGGGCCCGGACATTAATTAAAATATCCCCGGGTCCGGCATTTTAATCGCAGGGGACAATTCCCCCCTCTTCCTCTTTAACACTGTTTTCACCACACCACAGAACTCTGTGTCCTCAGGATGATTTAATTACTGCGTGTGTGTGTGTTTATCGGCCACACAAAGAGGAACGCGGTCCCGGCCGTCAGGATCAATTTACATTTCAGGATTTGCATATTCAAAGCCAACGATTTTGCTTATCAAATTTGTCGAGCGCCATATACATATTATACACTATGTATATTCATCGCTTATATCTACCCAACTTAGAGACAAGTTTTTCCAATCCCTTTATAATCCGATTGTTGTGCGAACGTCCTTCAAAGGTAAAGTTCCAAAAGAAATACAATTCCCGTCGACCGTTTTCAAGTTTAAATTTTAAAAACATTTGAAATCATAAAAGCCAATTTTATAAATTCATGTATATATCTATAAAAATGAACAAAAAAAAAATCATATATTTATTTTTTCATATACTCTACGGCAGAATATTCGACAAATATATTTAAAACATTTACATTTAACTATAATGTTTATTATAAATTAATTTAAGATTCTGACCAAATCTGAAGCGATGAATGTGTAATATACAATTATGTATGTTTTTTTTTTATTTGTTTCTCTATAATATCTGTAATGTATGTATCTTTTGGGGCAGTAAATATCATTTTCAACCTTGAGGGAGGTTTCTAGTTGCAAATTAAATTTAGTTTATAATTCARGAGGATAAAAGTAATTAATTCTAGTATAGTACGTTTAAAAAAAAGAAGGGGTAAATAAGGAAAATGGGAATCTATTGCAAAATCGACTTAGTGTATTTGATGTAATTCAAAAATCTAATCATAGATACTAATAATTTTTTCTTAATATCTATATAATCTTTTTTTATGCAAAAATCACACATTAAAAAAAAATATTTCAACACTTAGTGAAACACTTAAAMATTTTTAGACATTAGATATTTTCGATTTTTTTTTATTAAATATTTTTACTATCATTAATATAAATAATCATTTTTTATAAATATAGATAAAAAAATTTATGTATCAATTTCTTAGAATAATACACTTAATTTATTATTATTTGTTAGTTATAATAATATAAAAAAAACTTACCTTGAATTTTGCAATTCGAGGATTTTCAGATGCCAGTTTTGCTAAAGCTTGATAATCACATTTTGCTGATTTTACGACCCATTCTTTAGTCTTGGGATCTAACTATTAGAAATTAATAATCGGTTAAAATGAAAATTGTCACATGACGTATACTCTATACTTACTGATGTCATAGAAATAGTGTCTTCTTCGTCTTTATCGTTCTGTAAAAACAAACAAATATATATATATAATGAGTAATAACACAAACCAATATAATATTAAAACAGTTGACCTGTGATTTGTGAACCCGAAAACATTGGTCAGCAATTAAATTAACTTGCGTGTTTTCGTCAGCCTATTGCGTATTAATGACCTCATACAGTTTTCAACACATAGTAATATATAAGTATACAATGTATATATTTAACTATCTGCCCTATGCCCCTGTATATATTTTAAACCCTCTTTTTCTGGCCGCCAATTATTAATTACTCTAATAGCCAGTGGGGAGAGAATTTCAAGACCTCTTTATGTTGTCACTCTATTAATCTTAAGAGGGCGCGACGACCTGGAGATTTATGGTTTATTCTCTATATTTTATACACGAGAAATAGTCGGTTTTCGTATAAATACGTAGAGCGCGACAGACACATTTTTAWATTATATTTATAAACCGGCTCAATTATCCAAAATGAGTGTTCGGGTAAATTCTGTGTTACATCATCCGAAATTAACATAAATAATAAATGCACACATATATGATTCATAATAAATATATATACTATTGAATCTAAACAGAGAATAAAAAAAAACATAATAATACACGCGTATAGAATGCACACAAACACACACACACACAYAYATRTATATATATATATATATATATACATGTACTAATACATACTAATATTATAGTGTGAACAAATTATCAACGGTGACGTCAAAAATGTCGTCATCGTGACCCATGGCAAAATTTCTCAAAGTCATTGAATGGCTGAAGTGGGTTGCAAAAACTAATGGACACGTGTACGATGCACGTGTATTTAGGGGAGAAAAATATTAAAAGCTAACGTCTTCGGACGGCGTGCGGACACGCGGCAACAGCGTCGACGCCGCCGGGCAACTTGTTGCCGCGGATCATTAGATTTTCGCATTGCACTCGAAACCGCACGGTAAGTGGTGGTTATTCTTTCATATTTTTCCCCCAGAGGCCATATCTCGTTAGTACAGTTATTATTTTAAAATGTGAGTATGGGATTAAAAGTTTCGAAAAATAATCATATAATATCAACAGTATAGTAATAATCATAAACAAAAATTCAGCGATAGAACTGAAAGGGAAATTTTGTTAGTATTATAAATAAGTGACTCCAAARTATAAGKTTAAAATAAAAATGATAATACCAATAAAAATGTATAAATGACTACATGGTGTAATATAAAAATAAAAATAAAATAACCAAATACTTGGTCTGAAAAAAWATCATTACCTATACTGGCTATAACTATTTATTTATTATTGAACTAAATGTATGATATAGAGATACTAAATATTTAAGAATTCAAAATTTTATCATTTTTATCAAGAGATGTGTATAATGACATTTGCAAAATGTCTACTTCGATGACCAATATTACATAAAACATATTTTYAGATAAAATTTCAGAGTAATTGTCTATAAAAATCTCATATAAATAATAACATTTAATTAAAAAATTAAGTTTATGATAATGACTAATGAGTGATAACAAAACAATATAATTACAAATATTTTATAATTATAGTTGGCCGAGCCCTACTAATTATATCAAAACTAATTTTATAATATTAATTTGGCAACATAAAGTAAACGAAATAAATACGTTAATCTATTTGTATYGAATACAGTACTTATCTACTCAAAAATAAACATATATATTATATATCTATTAAAAATAATAATATTACGATTAGAAAAAAGTTTTTGATTACATTTTTAATTAAAAATACTGTATTCCTAAATAACTCTATACATCAGCTTGTTATATCTACTATAACAAAATAAAATCTTTTTTATAACCGCCTACATGAGAAACTGTTTTGTACTTACGCTTTTATTTTTAAAATATAATATATTAAATCTAACACACAATCATTGAATTGACTAACTACCATGATAAATTATAATTAGTAATTATATTTCTATTAAATAGTATATTTAAAATAAGTTAAAATGGTTAAAATTCCCGAACGTTTATGGTTCAATATTCTGATTAAAAAAAGGAATAATATGTTTAATAATAGGCTTATATAATTATGTAAAAMAATTCCTATAAATAATAATTAACAACGTGTCTTTTAGACATTTTAATATTGAAAGATACAAGTATTTACAAATAATAAAAACTAAAAAAGAASAGCTACTAGTTACAACAGTATTCTAATCAAATATGAAAAGATTTATTTATTAAAATGTACAAATGTACAATCGTGAACTGTTTAATAATAAACCAAGTCTTCACTATTTTAAAGATGGTAAATTAATATCTTTGAAACAAATTATTAAAACTCTAAAAACTTGATAGATATTTCTTCAATTTAGTTCTAATACTTTACTAGAAAATAAATATAATATTAAGTTCTATAATGTTGTGATTTGTGATTATGCCACCGTAAACTTTTTTAGGAAATTATAGTTTGCAAATTATAAACATATTTTCTAAATCACATCATAGATTCATTTTTTATATTATGACACACCCATTAGTTATTTAAATTATTATATGTTATGATAGTAATGTCGCTATAGATGAGAATTTGAAGAAGATACATTTTTTACCTGCATCAAATTTACAGAAAAAGCATTCTTAACAAATATTAAACACTGTTTGAGACAATAAATGTATGGCTTCTATTGTTTTAAATGGCTTCTTTATGTGCACAATGCACAAATTATCTGAATTTTATATCCGTAGGTAGCCCAAATAATCCCCTCATGCAATATTGACAGAATCAATATATCATAAGGTTTCGCACAGCCAATAAAACACGCACAATGCTGGTAACACTATAACGAATTGATATTCCGCGTTTCAAAACACCTTGTAAGCAAAATCAGTAAAACTGAACTGTAATCCAATTGATAAATAAATTTAATATTGAAATAAGGTTTCGATTTGAATTTACCCCAACAAGATATCTACACGGTATTGATTTTGTTTATTGTTATACCAACATTTTTCAGGTCGTAATTTATTACGACATAGCACCTATAAATAGGAGAGGGGAAAGAGTTAATTTAAAATAAAATAATTGCTCGTAACCGTAAATCACGGACAATATAGTTGAAAAGCTGTTCAGCCGTGTGATGTCAAACRGTTTTAAGAATTACATAAATCTTGCAGGAAAACTACGTTTTGATAATTTATAATATGTAATGGCAAGATTATTTATTTTTAATTTAATAACAAAAATTTGTCAAAACGGAAAAAAATCACATCTATTAAATTTCGTTCGTATTAAATTTAATAAAAACATTTTTTTTTTTTTTGTAAGTTTGCCAATTTTCTATTAAATTAGTTTTATATAATACACAAATATATTTTAAGATTGTATTAAGCAGTATTTTCATTATGTAAAACATTTCAAAAAAAATATCTGATACGCGAAATACGTCTATGAACTATTTAAAATTTAAAAAAAATGATGTAGGTATGTTTATTAAAATATAATGCTACATCGATGACGAGTGCAATAATAATCATAAATAATAAAGCAACATTATATATACAAGCACACAAACATCTATATAATAATTATATAATGTATAGACAATTCGTCTCCATTTCGCACAAAGAAGCACCTTAATGTTAGTTGTAACATAGATGTTCTGTAATTGCAGAGAAAATAAACAGAAGATAATAAGAAAGTTAATAAAACTAAAAAATTATTAACATTGATGAGACAATTTTAAAATTATATTTTGTTTACATCAATTTATTTTTATTGACGACATATGTTATTCTTACAATTTAAAAATTATAAATGCTCTTCATTAAAACGTGGGAATATTTAAAAACCTAATCTTCTTAATTTAAAATTAATGTCTAGTAAATTTCACCAGTTAAAAAATGTTTATTCATACATAATAAACTTAACTTAAAACAAATCCAACACAAACAATTTAGATTGAAAAATATTTAGCTATACATTATGTATAGATATAAGTACTAGGGCAGAAGACTTGTAACTTTAAAAAAGCTCTAAATATGCAAGCACATATACACTTAAAACCCCATAATATGCACTTACAATATTTTTTAGCGAATTTATTTTAAATTATTAATAACATCAATAGCATGTAAAAGAAGTTAAACAATCACATAATTTATATTATATATGGCCCTTGCTGCCGAGTTATATATATAAAGATCAATAAAAAAAAAAATTAAATATATTTTTACCATAACTAAATAAACAAAATACATTTTTCTTAATTTTATATTTATTCTTCTAGCACAAAAAAAAATAATAATCATAGTTAAATTAAAATCATTTTTTTCTGCAAGCGCTTCTAGAAAAAACGCGTGTCCGTAGAAAGTCAAAAACCATATTATACAACAAAAATTAAAAATAATTAATTTTTTTATCCAAACATTTCGACTGTATTTTTTTGAATAAAAATGTCAGTGTGAAAAAATTGATTTAAGTGAAATATATCTCTAAACAATAAAATTTCATATAAAAGTGTAAATAGGTATGCCTTAAAAACAAAAATGATTCAAGATATGCATTTTTATGCAAATTAAAATTTCAAAACTAACTGTGTGAAAACTTGAAGCGTATTTGTTTCGTAATCTGCTATTTTTGAAAAACAAATACGCAAATGCTACAAGTCCTCTGCCCTAGTACTCATGCTACTTTATATCATACCCCCAGGGGTCCGCGTGTTGATGTTAAGAGTCTGTGATTATCTAATACTGAAGTGATATTTTTATTTTATTTTAGTAGAATTTTTAAACACGTATTGGTTTGAAATTCTAGTTATTTTGCGCAATCACTATTGAAACTTGATTATCGCTAAAAAGGTCGACAATTAATGTATTATATACATAATATTTATTATTTTTATAATTAAACAAAATTGAAAAATCAGTAATCACAAATAAGTGGTCCCCAGTCAAATTTAAGTTTTAGCTATAGGGGTCCGTGGATCAATGCTAATTGGGAACCACTGGTATA